ACGTTTAGACAGCTTTGTCAATATTTAATGCCTGCCCAAGTTGTCACCCACGCCGCATCACGTATCGCCACGTGAACTCTGCGTCCGTCTCCTGAATGATTGATGGCCCTGCCGTGCTTCTAGGATTGTGCAAAAAAAACCGTCGCATTTGCTTAATGGAACGGTTGTCGGTTCTGTAAACATCCGAGCGAGCGGGCAAGGCTTTCGTCAAACATTTAGTAAATTGGACGCGGATGAAGAAATTTAACTTAATGGACACGTTGAACAAAGTGGAAACATTCTGGAAACTATGGGGATGTGTTTTTGTGAGAAAGCAGTGGCTGTGAAGCGTTTACCAGAGTTATAAAGCCACCACATGTGTTGCAAAATTGACATCTTTTATTTTATTGTAAGCGTCTTGATGTCAAATAAAATAGGCAAATGTGACAGTTATTCTGTGGCAAGCAGACAAAACATTACATTTCCTCTTCTTGTTGGATTGTATTTATTATTGCTGTGCTTTGAGGAGAAATCATGGTCACATTTGCGGTTCTTCAAAATAATTATAATTGGTCATTCAGCAAAGTCTCACTGAGGCTAAATTATATTAGTCCTGCTTAATACGGGTTTTTTGGGTGAGATCGCGTACATATATATTGGCGTGTTCTGTTTACTTGACAAACCTTACTAATTGACTGTCAGGTGGTGGCGGGTTTAACGACACATTTATATATTTACGCTATCTAATCCAAAAAACCTGTATTATGGATGATGTTCAATCAATCTAGTTCTTGTTGAGTGTTTATGCACATGGGAGGAAACTGGAGTTTCTAGAGAAAATGAACGCACATTCGAGGGAGACATGCCAATAAATATGCTCCGATAATCCAGACCAACTTGCTGTACTGTCTTCTATCGATTAATTGTTAATCAGCAGGTGCAGTTTTCCTCTGCATGAACCACCAACCCCTGCTTTCCCAACATCCCAAAGCAGAACCCTTTTGTAAAAGGTTATGAGGCTTCCCTTTGTTAAATAATTGATTTCTTAAAATCTTCCTGAGACTGTTTTGGGCCTTCATCGTAGGTGCCCCCACAATAATTATCCTGGGGATCAATAAGTCTATTTCCAGCTACTACACTTAGTGCTGATGCTTCCTTTAAACTGCAACGGGGTCTCAAATCTAGTTCAGTGTCTCCCTGCTCAAGAAAACAATGTGGTGGCGCTCACTTCCAATCGCGGAAATTCCACATGACCATATACAAAGTGTCAGTCACTTTAGAGTAAAGCTACTCATTGGTTTTTTCGGTAAAGTCACGTATGCAGAAATACCAGTCACGAAAGCTTTAATTCTTTAGTAAAGCTACTGTTGATTTTCCACAAAGTGATTCTAATTATATCAGCTCCTTTATTTTGTTTGCCCGTCTCGTTTGTACGGATTGCTCTTCAAGGTTAAAGGTTGCATGAATTTGTAACAGAGATTCTCGTGAGATTCAATTTTAAGACGATTAATCAGTGCCGTCATTACATGCCTGCCTAGCGCACAAAGACAAAGATCCCCTATGTAGCCTTAACAGATTGTTGAGGCAATTGCTGTTAGCGAGTAGCAGCTGTGAAGGCCGGCACGGCACACGAGGGGGTGGGTGGCCAACATCACTCACGGCCGCCTTTGTCTCCCCAGTGGTGATGTGTACACACCGCACCAGGTACTAATTTGAGGCTGAGCGGGAATCGAACTCTGATCGCCGGGTTCGTAGCGCATCGCACTGACCGCTAAGCTACTGCTCCTCTGGTGAGCACAAAGACAGTGACATGCACGTGACCTTGTGACCTGGTAGGTCACCGCTTCGTAGATGTCCATTGCTCTTGTCTCATTAGGTGTATGTATGTGTGTTTCAAAATACACGTAACTCTTGAGCAGTCCCACTTACTCGCTCGTGTCCTCTGTAAACATGAAACGGCACGGTAATTAACGTTTGCATGCCACAAAACGTGTGTACGGTTACAGCGCAGGTCCAATGACATTCTGCGCGTGGCAGAAACACTGAATATTGATGCTCGGAGTTTATGCTGGGTTTGTGTCTCCCCAGTGCTGATGTTTACTCAAAGCACCAGGTGCTCATTTTTTAGCTTGAGTCGACCTAGGGGACGCAGAGGACTGATTCGGATAATTGTCACTGATGTTGGCTGCGAGCAGGAATCGAACACTGGTTGCCGGGTTCGGACACGCACAGCCAAAACCACAAAAAAACCCCGTATAGCCTTAACGGACTTTTGGAACAAATTCTGTTGCCAAGCACCGATGATAGCTAGGACGGCATAACGAAGGGGTTGATGGCCAACACCACGCCCGACCACCTTTGTCTCCCCAGTGGCGGTGTTTACACACCACACCAGGTACTCATTTGAGGCTGAGTCGACCGTGGAGAGGCCCAGGACCGGTTCATATAATCATCACTGGTGTCGGTCGTTTGCGGGAATCGAACTCTGGTTGCCGGGTTCATAGTGCAGCGTGCTATCCGCTACAACTACCGCTCCCCACAAACGAACACAAACGCACACACACACACCCGCACGGATAGGTATAGCCAATACGGAACGTTGATGTAGGTTGTTCGCGTGCGGTCTGCTTTTATGGGCCTCTGCATCACCTTGGTAGTGCGCCGTGCGAGGTCTGCCGTGGTTTGGCGCGGTATCGCACACAGCACCCCGGGGGTTCCTTTGAGGTCTGGGCCGGGTTTGCCGGCTGTGCAATGCCTGGGGGGGGGGGGGGGGGGGCGCTGTCTGCGATCGGCTCACGCACGACGCGGCTGCCGTTGTGACGACGGAACAACTTTTCGATTGTTCGCTCTGGTTGGTGGATACTGATTGATCGATCTTGTTCATTTTTGTTTTTGATATTGGTTGATGATGATGATCACCGATTCAATGAGAATCGGTTGTTCATCGTTTAGTGTAAATTATATGCCAACGAGATGCTCGTGTCATGTTTAGGCCGGCGAAGCGAACAAAATAATGCAGGCGAGACGGAACAAGGGACGAATGTAAAGCAATGGATGTGAGTCTCGAGTTGAATCGCTGGGGAAGCGAATCCGTTACGCGCCATGCCCCTGCTGGTGCTCGTTCTTGTCACCGAGCCGCTTCGTAGTGGGCCGAACGTCCGATGCCCACCACAGCCGTAGCTTCGACGGAGAATTGGAAGAGCCGCTGCCGAGTGGGCAATAAAAAACTCTTACGTCACTGAAAATTATCTGACGATGTATGTTATCGCCTTCCAGAGTGCAATGTCTACCATGGGATGATGAATCTCCACTTTATGTAAGAATTAAACAAGCGGGGAATGTCTTAGTCTCGTGACATGACCGCCAATAGCCCAATGGGGATGTAACTTGATGTTAAGAGAAGACAAAAAAACGGTTAAAATGAAGGCCACCCCCTGGGTGAACGCTGCAAAGCTGGATATGTAATCTGAGGTGATGAGCTGCGTGACACCAATGCTCACTGTGCCGTCACAATGAGCGCAACGTTGTGCGCGACTTGGAAGGGACGAAAGATTTTTAAAAAGCGGGGATTATCGATTGAACAAGATCTGTGTGCTGCGTTCCCCTTTCAGAGACTTTGAGGCTTCCCTTTCCAGTCGGTGCTTGTCCCTCGCCTTGCCGAGTGTCCACCGAGACTCCTCCCCTGCTTTGAGAGCGACACCCAGCTCGCCTTAACCACGGGGGGTGAGGGGGGAAACGTTTGCTAATTCGGTTTCAACTCAAGGTAAAGCATCTCCCCCCACCGCTCAAACGGGTGTTGATGGTGCCCATCTCCAGTAAACTATAACATAAAACTCTTTTTTATTTTACCAGGTGAGGCTCACTGGGCTATATAGCTCTTTTTTTAAGCGACCCGACTATCACAAATGATAGCTCAACCAAGTGGCTTATCATGATGTGGAAACATATAGCGGCCAAACACTCTGTAAAAGCACCTTCATTCTAAATGTGGAGGGGAAAAACCAGAGGACCTGGAGAAAAAGCCACACGACCACGGGGAGAGAGAGAACACACCAACTCCAAATTATACAGGTATCAGGGTCGGCATTGAACCCACGACCTCCTGTATACCAGGCGAGGTAGTTCACATCTCGCTACCCGTGATCCACAGCAGGAGTTCCGCATTGTGGTGGTCGGCAGAACCGCCGACCCCGTATGAACGGGACAGGACGAAGAAGGGAGAGGCCGGAGTCTCTCCACGGAACAACCGTTCCGGATTCGCCGCCGAGAGGCGACGGTGCTTTCGTTGTAATTTTCCACGAAACGTTTTCGCCGTTGCGCTGCTGCCCCTGTCATGTGGACGGTGAGAGGGTGCGTCCATTTGGGGACCGCTCGCAGCTCAGCCGCCGCCAGAGTTGCGACGGATAAGAGTCCCGTGTGGAGCGATGCCACACAACTCCTTCTGAGATCCCCTTCGAGGGCCCGCTGGACTTTCCCACGCAGCCTGCTGCGAACAGGGACGCGTTTGACCCCTGGCAGTATAATTTTTTTGTATTCATTCACAGAGCTCGTATTTTGGCACGTGAAGTGGACAAACAAAAATGAACTAAGTTGCTGCGATGGTTTTAATGCGCAGTCGTTTATCTGCCGTCAGCTCGCTCCCCTTGAGATGGCGGTTTAAACACGGGGGAGCTGCCGGCATCCGATGCGGAATATCAGCTGTGCAGACCCGAGTGCTGTGAACCCCGGGCCACCCAATCATCCCCGAGTGTAGTAGCCTTTTTTATTGACCTTTCAGGATGACAATGATGGGACGGGGTCGATGCCGCACGTTCCTTGGCGGTTTGAGTGCTCTCTGCCAGAGTGCCACGCGGCCAGACACATCATACATGTGCGTCATGTTTATTAATTGCTTTGGCTGAGAATTTCGGCATTTCAAATGATCGTTTCTGCTAATAGACATGCTTGTAACCCCCCCCCCTCCCCACCTGTGTGATGAATGAAAGTGATGATGGTGCTGTCTACGCTTTGCCTTTTTACAGATACAGCTTCATCATCGCCATGGGCTGCCTGTCCCTGTGCCAGATAAAGTTTTTCATCTTTGACTACGGCATCTACTCAACGGACTTCACGGGGTGAGGATCTCGGGTGCCTCCTTCAAGCGTGACGACACGCGTCATTACGGCGGCAGCAGCAGCAGTTAGTGAGCACCTGTGAAGGCTCCTCGTGGCTTTCCGTCTGAAATGGGCATTGGGCAGCGCTCATTTCTATGGTCATACTGGAGGAAGCTCTGTTTTTTTTACTTTTGCTACTGTAAAGCCATTCTTATTTTATGCGTCAAATTCAGGGGTCGGCAACTAAACTAACAAGAAGGGACATTTTCTTCGAATTCAGTCAAACAAAAATCTAAATATTTTGAGAGCCACAATGGCACGTGAATGCAAGATGGGTACTGAATGAATAACGTCAAACCGCATTTTTTTCGATCGCCATTTTAATAACAGCGCTCGCAATGATTTGTAATGCAGCGTTACAAATCATTGTTGGGCGTTTAGACGTTCACCATTTGTCGAAAATAATTAGTTATTTTCTACTACTTTGCAATTATAGTGTCGGGAGACACGAAGCAGTTCCTTAACGAGCCGCTTGCGGTTCCACAGCCGCATGGTTACCGACCCCCCGGCTCCAAGTGGATGATGGCCGATTGTGAGTCAAGAGCTCGAACCACAGCTGCACCTGGGTCGGATATGTACCTTTTTATATTCACGGTTAGGTTCAAGGTGGTCTCTGCGCGTACCTCTGTCGTGTTTTTAAGCTTTTTAATATCACTTTCGTTCGGTTATCCACTCATATTCGGGCATTCTTTCAGGAGGGCCCTTCACAGGGATGTTTGGCAAATAATTTAATATACATATTTTTGCAAGTAGCTTTGCACGTGGCAGGTAACGGCAACACCAGGAGAAAACCCCCTCACACATGCGAGGGGGATACCTCCCAAATGACGCTCGTACAGCCCAGCAGCAACACGTCGTTTGTTGGCCGATTTCGCATTCCAGCAGGACCTCACTCGGCCAGCTCTGCGGGATTCGGCCAAACTGGCCGCTGGGCGCTGGAGAGCGCCGGCGCCTCCACCACCCTCACCGTGTTAACCTGCTGCCCGCGCCTCTCTCTCTGCCCGCCCGCAGGCCCATGATGGTGATGGCACAGAAGATCACCACCCTCGCCTACTCGGTGCACGATGGTGAGAGGCTGCTCCCGTGATGACCGCGAGGGGAAGCCAGGCTGGGTCTTGTTTTTGTTGCTCTTGTTTGCTCCGGTTGGTGGATGTTGATTGATTGATTGACCTTGTTCTTTTTGGCTTCATGTTGGTTGATGAAAATCACCGGTTGAATGCTGCGATATTTAATGGGCACACACTTTCAAAAAGCAATTGACCCGTCTCAAAGAGACTGTATGGCAAAGTGCTGTTAGCAAGCGCCAATGATGATTGGCACGGTACAGGAGGTGGTGGTGTACCCAGTACCACGGCTGGCCACCTGTTTTCCCATCGATGATGTTGACACGCTGCACTTTAAACTTATTTAAATACGCAGTGCAGGGCTTCGTAGTACATAGTGCAGTCTACCTAGGGGAGGTGCAATACAAGTTCCAATACCGTTCGTAACAGACGTTATCCATATCGTAGCACAGTCCACTCACGGCTGGACCAAAGACAAAGACCACCTGTGTAGCCTTAACAGAATGTAGGAGCAAGTGCTGTTAGCGAGCACCTATGAAGGCTGGCACGGCACACGAGGGAGTGGGTGACCAACACCACGCCCAGCCACCTTTGTCTCCCTAGTGGCGATATTTACACACTGCACCACATATTTATTTGAGGCTGAGTCGACCTAGGCGAGGCCCAGGACCGGTTCAGATAATCGTCACCGGTGTTGACCGTGAGCAGGAATCGAACCGGGGTTTCCGGGTTCTTGACGCAGCGCATTAAAGGCTGCACCACCACTCCTGGCCATTCACAGGGACGCGAAACGCTTTGTGTGGCGCACGAGCAGTGATTCACTTAAAATTGCACAGCGGCCATAAGTTGTCGAAAGCACGCTAAAGTCTTGTTGTTGTAGCCAGTGGGTGGGGGGGATACTGACGAGTCGACGGTTAGCTTGGCGCTGACCAAGCTAACCGTCGACTCGCCCATGCGCCTGGGGCTGGTAAAGCGTCTCGGCTGAGACCACCCCATGCCGCTACCGCCCCGTGCCGCTATCGCCCCGTGCCGCTACCACTGTGTGCCACCACTTGGCATGAAGGTCTACGCGGCGCCGTGTGCTTTCCCAGGGATCGGGCGGAAGGACGAAGACCTGAGTCCGGAGCAGCGGCGCTACGCTGTGAGGTGAGTGCCGTGAGCCTCCTCGCCTCACCTCCTCATCTCTGCCCCCCCCTCGTCTCTGCCTCCCCCTCGTCTCTGCCTCCCCCTCGTCTCTGCCATCCGCCCTGCGAGCCGTCACTGGAAGTCGCCCTCTGGCTGCGGCAGTGACCAAGACTCTCCGTCTCGCAGAGCACGGCTCGCCCTGCACCGATTGGTTATTCGCTTCATCAACCCTCAGACGGATGATGATTTGTTTGCGCCCGAACCTCGAGGCCGGGATTTTTTAACTGGCGACCTTCGGACTGCTCTGAACAGGGCGCTCCGTTCTGTGGCACGACGTCCGTAGTACTACGGGGGAGCAATATTGCGGAAACGGACAAAAAAATAAAGTGATGACAGCCGTTCGTCGTTTAGTTGCGTCCTGCCGCCCCCTCCCCCGCTGCTTACACGCACAGAGTGCGGCCAACCCTGCTGCAGTACTACAGCTACAACTTCAACTTCCTGAGCATCCTGACGGGCCCGTGCTGCGCCTACAAGGACTACCTGGCCTTCATGGAGGGGCGGCATTTAGCGCCGCAGCAGTCCGGCGTGGGAACGGCGGCCGCGGGGCCGGAGGAGGCCTCCCTGGCCGCGTGCGGTGGCGACAGCGGCAAGCGTCCGCGCTGCGAGCCCTCCCCGCTGGTAACGGTCGCGTCGCGTCGCGTGGGGGTACGCGGGGGTACATTGGGGTACGCTGGGGTATGCTGGGGTATGCGGGGGTACGCTGGGGTATGTGGGGGTACGCTGGGGTGCACGATATGCGTGGGGCGGCCGTGCCCTCATCTTCCCATTTGGTCATCATCAGGCGCAGCAGCGGATGCAGGACAAGGCTGTTGTACTTATCATTACCTGCAGCTTCAATATGACTACTGTCGTCATAATCGTCATCGCATTCCAAAGTAGTACAACTGCAGTAAAAAGATGGAAAAGTCGTGGAATTGTCACATGCATCGTATATATCGTTATCATTTTCATCATGAGAAGGTTATATTCTTCGTCGTTTTCATTTTCTATGCCTACATTTAATATCATTGTCATCAACGAGATGTTAACTATCTTGCCTCGTATACAAGAGGTCGTGGATTCCATCCCGACCCTGGCGCCTGCATATTTGGAGTTTGTATGTTTCTCTCCCTGTGGGCTTGTGAATTTTTCTCCGGGTCCTCCAGTTTTTCCCTCCGCATTTAGAATCAACGTGCGTTTCGAGTATTCGGCTGCTCTACATTTCCACGTAATGAGCCACTTGGTTGAGCTATCATTTGTGGCTGGGGTCGCTTCTGAAAAAGGAGCTGTAGAGCTCAGTTGGCCCTTACCTGATCAAAAAAATAAATGAGCAGCAGTAGAAGCAACATCCTCAGCCTCGTTAGTGGCAATCACATCATCACCGTCGCCCTCATTCATTATTATAATTTACTGTAGTGTCAAGCACCGCATTGGGAGCATCGTCATCGTCATCCTAACGATCGCCGTTATCAACAGAGGTTCCCTGCATCGTCGCCACCTCCAGCCAGAGACATCACCGGTGGTGGCAGCATCGGAATAATGATCATCAGTGGCATCGTTATACAGCATTCATGGTAATTAATTTTATTCAGGGTCTGTTTATTCAAACTTGGTAATCTTAGGCGGCACCAACAGTGATAATAGCTTATGAAATCCTGATTATTTTCTTGTTGCTGTGTTTTTCCACGAAATAGGCTCCGATGTGTTCTCACAGCACCAAGCGGTGAAGTGAATTAAACGAGGCATTGCATTAGGGCTTGCAGCTTTCGATGGTGAGGCACTGGCGTGTTGTTTCATTAATTTATCTAGGACGCATTGGCCTTTGGGAAAATGAGTAATTTACATTTTTTAAAATAAAAAAAGCACGTGCATACTCTGAATTCGATCGTGGGTAGAGAAAACAAAAAAACCTTTGGTGTACACGGAACAATGCGAAATTTAAAATGTCACTTTTTTTTGGAATATTTATTACATTTTTTGTTCGCTATCGTTGAGGGGGATTTTTTTTTTCTTATTTTTAATAAGCCATGTGTAGCACGTGACCGGGCAGTGTAGGACAAAGCCCAGCTAGGCCTCAGGATGACTCGCACAGATTGTATTTTAAAGAGGATCACCCCGATCTATTCGGGTGCCAACACGTACAGTGAGGGAAAAAAGTATTTGATCCCCTGCTGATTTTGTACGTTTGCCCACTGACAAAGAAATGATCAGTCTATAATTTTAATGGTAGGTTTATTTGAACAGTGAGAGACAGAATAACAACAAAAAAATCAAGAAAAACGCATGTCAAAAATGTTATAAATTAATTTGCTTTAAATTAGGGAAATAAGTATTTGACCCCTCTGCAAAACATGACTTAGTACTTGGTGGCAAAACCCTTGTTGGCAATCACAGAGGTCAGACGTTTCTTGTAGTTGGCCACCAGGTTTGCACACATCTCAGGAGGGATTTTGTCCCACTCCTCTTTGCAGATCTTCTCCAAGTCATTAAGGTTTCGAGGCTGACGTTTGGCAACTCGAACCTTCAGCTCCCTCCACAGATTTTCTATGGGATTAAGGTCTGGAGACTGGCTAGGCCACTCCAGGACCTTAATGTGCTTCTTCTTGAGCCACTCCTTTGTTGCCTTGGCCGTGTGTTTTGGGTCATTGTCATGCTGGAATACCCATCCACGACCCATTTTCAATGCCCTTGCTGAGGGAAGGAGGTTCTCACCCAAGATTTGACGGTACATGGCCCCGTCCATCGTCCCTTTGATGCGGTGAAGCTGTCCTGTCCCCTTAGCTGAAAAACACCCCCAAAGCATAATGTTTCCACCTCCATGTTTGACGGTGGGGATGGTGTTCTTGGGGTCATAGGCAGCATTCCTCTTCCTCCAAACACGGCGAGTTGAGTTGATGCCAAAGAGCTCCATTTTGGTCTCATCTGACCACAACACTTTCACCCAGTTGTCCTCTGAATCATTCAGATGTTCATTGGCAAACTTCAGACGGGCATGTATATGTGCTTTCTTGAGCAGGGGGACCTTGCGGGCACTGCAGGATTTCAGTCCTTCACGGCGTAGTGTGTTACCAATTTTTTTTCTTGGTGACTATGGTCCCAGCTTCCTTGAGATCATTGACAAGATCCTCCCGTGTAGTTCTGGGCTGATTCCTCACCGTTCTCATAATCATTGCAACTCCACGAGGTGAGATCTTGCATGGAGCCCCAGGCCGAGGGAGATTGACAGTTCTTTTGTGTTTCTTCCATTTGCGAATAATCGCACCAACTGTTGTCACCTTCTCACCAAGCTGCTTGGCAATGGTCTTGTAGCCCATTCCAGCCTTGTGTAGGTCTACAATCTTGTCCCTGACATCATTGAAGAGCTCTTTGGTCTTGGCCATGGTGGAGAGTTTGGAATCTGATTGATTGATTGCTTCTGTGGACAGGTGTCTTTTATACAGGTAACGAGCTGAGATTAGGAGCACACTCTTAAAGGGAGTTACCTGTATAAAAGACACCTGGGAGCCAGAAATCTTTCTGATTGAGAAGGGGTCAAATACTTATTTCCCTCATTAAAATGCAAATCAATTTATAACATTTTTGGCATGCGTTTTTCCGGATTTTGTTGTTGTTATTCTGTCTCTCACTGTTCAAATAAACCTACCATTAAAATTATAGACTGATCATTTCTTTGTCAGTGGGCAAACGTACAAAATCAGCAGGGGATCAAATACTTTTTTCCCTCACTGTACGGTATATTATTTGTAGATGCGAGCATCCTTCATCCGGTCGGACTGCCGCTGTTTGTCAGAGCACTTGACTCGCAATGAGAAGGTCGCCGTTCAAATTTCCCCGTCATAGGAATTTGGAATATTCACTACTGGCTGGCTCAGAGCTCGCCAGCAGAGGCGGCCCCATTGCCCCCATGCTCCTTTGAGCACAGAAAGAGAGAGGCAGTAATCACTTGAGTTTGTCTGTCTTGCATCCCACTTCGAAATTAAATGATTGATGGCTCTGGTCTTTAAAAAAAAAATGACCCGTGTCTTTTGCCAACGCAGAATGTCAGACAAGCCAGCCTGCGGGCAGAGATAACTGGTTTACTCCGGGAACAGTTGCCGGGGTGTGGCTGCACATCCCAGGATAGAGCGCAAGGCAGCCGTGCAAGCCGCTCGAGATATTTCTCCCCGCTAGATGTAACGTTATCAGTGGCCAGAGCCTTTTTTTGACTCGCCGAGTCTCAGGGTCACTGAAGCATTCCCATCGGCTCGCTGGCTTTATTATGGGAATAACGCTTGTCAGAGCGCTGATCCGGGACTGCCGAGATCTTGGTTTCAACCGCCCGTGATTAAACTCAATTATAGCAAGTCGATAGTCTATGTACACTCGCCAATGACTGCTACATACGTAAAAACAGTCAGCTTGTTTTTGACCTCATTTGTTTTTGCACATCAGCGTGATATCACGTTTTAAATTATCGGTGTCCTCCCCTTCCCCTCCTATTGTTATACTGTATTGTAAATGGCCATTTTCAAATAGCTGTTTATCCGAAGTTTGGTGTCACGTTTGTGAAGTTAGGCTTTGCAGCTCAGGAACTCATCAAGCCACGTCATGGTCAAAGATTGTCATGGCTTATGTCATGCGTGTGATTGCACCCTGCCGTCTTTTTCATCCTTTGCACATTTGCACAGTCGCTACCTCGCCTGGCAAGGTTTGCTTCTTTAGTTCCCCGTCTCTCTGGCTTTGGGCTTGTCCCTTAGTGGCATTTAGAAACATGCCTTTAAGAGTATTTGGCTGCTGTAAATTTCCACACGATAAGCCAGTTGGTGGCGCTATCATTTGTGGCTTGGTCGTTTGTGAAAAGTAAGCTCATAGCTTAGTCGATTTTTGCCTGTGAAGATAAAAACAGTTTAGTTTTATTTGCATAGTTTTTTTAAGTGAATTGTTTTCCTTTCCTATCTATACTTTCCACTCCTTTAGTGATTTTGTGTTTTGTTTGTTTTAACGTTATGACCTTCTCCTACTGGACATCTGTGAAAAAGAGCTTTATAGCTCATCGAATTTGTCCAGTATAAATAAACATTTTAATTCTGATTGCATGCCACGACAAGGTTCCCCCCCCCCCCCCTCAATCCTGCGCAGGTGTCCTAAGCAGTGTAACCTCCTTTTCGTGATGATATCAAGAGTGACTTCACTCTTCCATTCAATTACAAACTTGCAATTTGCTTTTACCCTATCCTGCTGTGAAATTCCTCGCGTCACTTTGTGTGCGCGTCCGTACTCAAAGCCCTCCGAAGCTTTGTCCGAGCGGCACTCCCCAACCCGCACCGAAGCGCAGGCATTACTCCTGCCTCCCCCCCCCACCCCAAACGCTAAAGCTGATATCTGCATTCTTTCAAAGTGATTCCACGCGGTCAGTTGTAAAACTTTCTCTGCACATGCGGAGCCTTGTTCGCGAGCGATGTTATTGTTGTTGGCGAGCGTCCGTTTTGCGCCTGTGGGCAACAAATACCAGTTTCCTGCTGCGGTGTTAGATGTTGGGAGACCTTGACACGTCCATAACCGTCGCTTTTGCGACATCCTGCGGCTTGCTTGATGCAGTGGGTTTCTAACTGCACGGCCGAAGGGTGTTGTTGAATAAATCAATCAAACCTGGTATAACCTGAATTATTTATTGTTTTATAACCCAGCCAGAGCCTCGTCGGTTTGACAAGTGCTTTTGCGGAGGGGAAGCCTGGGTGAATTTTTTGCTGTTACTGCTGCTGCTGTTAGCCCCGTAACTTCCCACCGTTGGGCAAAGGGCTCCCGAGTTTCATCCCATTCCTAGATTCATTCCATTCCTTCCACCTTTTCATTCTTGTCCGGTAGCAGTGGCCTCTGAATTATTTGGTCTCCACTCCGAAGTTAATTCTGCGTCTCATACCCCGTCGTTCGTTGACATGGCGTGGCCCCTTGCCCATCTACACTCCATGATCTCTTTTGCGTTGTTAACTTAAAAGAGGGCAACGTGCAAGTGCAGTCTTCGTCTTTTGTATGGCCGATGTAGATGCGGAGCAAAAACTACAATTTCACATTGAGGTCGTCAAGCCAGATAACCGCGTCAGGAGCAGCGGAATATTATCACTGCGATGCCTCCTTCATATTTGTGCATCGGGCATTGCGTAGTGAAACATTGTATGGTCTGCTTTGGATGACCACAGTCACACGTTGGAGAGTTTTAAATTTGTGGATCAGGTATCCGCATCTGCCGTGGTTTGTGTGCATGCGGTTTAGAGCTGACCATGAGCTTCCTGGAAGATCAAAACCAGAGATCTTCTACGTGGACATTGGCTCGTTTTTGACCGTCAATCGGATGAATTTTTAATGTTTTTGTCAACAACATGTGAATCGGGGCCGCTCGAAGCGACACGTTTCGAGTTCAATGGTCAATTTGAGGACAAGCCTCACTGAGTCTCAAGATGCTTTGTTCAGGAGGGTCTTGTCAAGTTTTCACAGTCAGGGGGGGGGCAGGGGCGGGGGCAATGGTTGCTATGTACATTTTGCTATGAAGTAATTTCCCGGGTGACTATTCAAAATTGTCCATTGTGGACCATGACGCCGGCGAGGAATGACGTCACGGGATCTTTTGCGTCCACTGTGAAGCAGACGTCGCTCGGTGTTGTTACCGTTCATACACGCACACCGCAGTGTTGGCCAGAGCGGCCACTGAATTCTAACCGCGAACACTCTGCAGAATCAGACTAGAGGAGGATTCCGATGAGCCATAAAGCTCTCTGTCACGGTGTCCAGTAGGAGCGGGTCAGAAAGTTACGACAACAAGTGGCGAACACAGCGACCCGAGTTCGATTCCCGCTCACGACCACCAACACCACTGACGGTTATCTGAACCGGTCCTGGGCCTCCCCTAAGTTGACTCGGCCTCAAATGAGTACCTCGTGTGGTGTGCAAACATCGGCACTGGGGAGTCAATGGTGGTCAACGGTGACCGTGCGTGGTAGCAGCCGCCCATCCCCTCGTGCGTCGTACTGGCCTTCATAGGTGCCACTCACTAACAGCACTTGCGCCAACAGTCCGTTAATAGCTGTACGGGGATGATGTTTGTCTTTGTCTCTTGACCCCCGCCCCCACCATAGAGCGCGGTGATGTACAAGCTGGCCGTCGCTCTCGTGTCGCTGGGGCTGCACCTCACGGTGGCCCGGGGCTTCCCCGTCAACTACAACGTGGACGAGCGCTTTGTGCAGACCGAGCCGCTGCATTTCCGCCTCTGCTACCTCTTCGTGTCGATCCAGGCGGCGAGGCCCAAGTACTACTTCGCTTGGTCCATCGGTGAGTCCCGCCCGCCCTGGCGCAGGCCGGGAACCACCCGAGCGCCCCGTGGTTTGCGTGGATTTTAGTTTTTCTTCCGGGTCCTTTTTTTTCCTGTTCTCTTCTCCCCCTCCTCCGCGTGTAGAAATCTACGTGCGTCGAAAGCATTTGTCTGATGGGCCACTTCGTTGAGCAATTCGTTTGTGACGGGCAGGTGACTTCTGAAAAAGAGCTGTGTGGGCTCAGCGGTGCCTTACCTGCTGAAATAAAAAAAATAGTTTAGTTTCATCGCGGCGCGGCACATTCTGTCTTTCTCGCCTCGGTTTGTTCATCTAATTTTTAGAAACCCGATCTTGGGCTTTTAGGAATTCAGCGTCAAATGATATCGGATGGTTACGGTTCGGCGTATCTCTAGTGGTGGTGAAGTTCATGGTTGAAATCCCAGTGGCCGCCCTGGTTAATACTGCGGGCGTATTGACAATAAGTATATGGGCCGCCTGCCACACAGTGGACGTTAGAGAGATCGCGCGACGTTGAAAGAGCCGGCCGTGTGTGTGTGTGTGGGCACATCGCGGTCAAAATTTATCGTATTGAGAAAAATTGCAGGCAAACAACTGGATTGAGTAAAACCACGAAGCAATATCGCCTCCTACTGGCAGACTATATCCGTCTGTGAAACATCGTGCCTTTGTGAGAGCCCTGATTACATTATGGTAATTATAGACGTAACAAACTAGGTTTGGCTCCTGAGGCATTTCATAACTCCGGCTCGCAGGACGCCCGCGACCCTTTGTAACTCTTCATGGTGACCAAAAAAATAAACCCTCCGTTCACGCAACTCAAAGCGCTGCACCACACACACACGCGCACTTGGAGGTTGGAGGTCACGGAGAGCTGCAACGTAGCCGCTCACACGGACTGGGGCTTGAGATTGTACTATTTTGTATCTGCGGAATATAGCCGTAAACTCGCGGTGTGAATGTTGTGTGTGTATGCGTGTGCGCGTGCGCGCGCGTGCATACTTGTCAGTGCATGCAGATAAAGTCCTATCAGTGAGCCTCTCTGGCAAGCGAGGCTGTGCTGGCTAGGTCATGTAGCACCGCAGCGCTCCCCCCGCAACCTTTGTTTGATCGGATAAGGAGAGATAAGCGGGGGACAGCGTGGGCTACAGGAAGAAATGGGCTCATGTGGTGCAGGGTGACCTGGAGTCGAGTGGAATTGCCAACGGGCTGGCACCGAGGGCACCCGACAACAACGGGCGACGGGGTGGTCAAGAGATGCTGGCAGACAATGAGCAGACAGGGCCTAAAGTGAGCGTTTGGCTAAGTACGGTGCACAATAAGTTATGCATACATTAATTTAGTACGGTTCAGTACGGCTGTTGTCCTCTTCTTGAGGCAGCTGCTGCCCTGGGAAATGTTGCACGGCACTGACGTGGATCTTCGCGTCCCCGTTACTGCCAGGCGCACAGTGATGCACTGCTCGAGACGATGTTTGTTGAACTTCTTTCGCACCGTACGTAGCCAACTGTGCTAATTGTTATCCTTACCTCTTCTCGTATTGTGAGATATTTTTCTTCCCGTGATACCGTGATATGGCGCCGGGTTTTTTTTTCTTGTACCTATCAGAGTCCATCAATCAGAATCGTTATTTATACCGGAGAAATCCGATGAGCTGTGAAGCTCTTTTTTTTCCACAGACGTCCAGTCGGGGAGGTCCAGAACGTTAATACAACAAACAATACGAAAACGCGATAGGAGTGCAAAGTATAGGAAGGGCAAGCAAATCGCAAAAAAATCTACCGATAAAACTGAACAATTTTCATTTCACGTAAGAGGGGCCAACCCTCTCGTGAACACGCATGCGTGCGTTTGTGTGCTGCGCGCCATGTGCTCGCGCACGCCGTGCGTTTCGCATGTGCGCGCTCACGGGTTTTGTGGGCCTCTTTTCGCAGCGGACGCGATCAACAACGCGGCGGGGTTCGGGTTCAACGGCTACCACAAGAACGGCGAGGCTCGCTGGGACCTCATCTCCAACCTCAACATCTGGAACATTGAGGTTCGGGCAGCTTTCTGACGCACCGCTCACCGCTCGCCGCCCACCGCAAACCACCCACCGTGCACCGCTGCACCGCGCCGATGGGTCACGGGGACGGCGGCGGATGAGTCCGCGCGGCGCAGTTGGCAAAGTGCTACAGAAGGGACATTTCCCGAAACGTCGCCTATTATTATTATTATTTGCACCTCCCAATTATCACGGTTGGCTACGTGTGGGTGCGGAAGATGTTCAACATTACATACATGCATTTATTTTTCTTTTAAGGCCACACGCAGTGTTACTGACGAATGTGGTGAGCTTTATTGTTGCTTGTGAAGAGGAGTCGGAGACTGGTTAAGCGCTTCTTTATTCTTCAAACCACAGCCACACTCGTTCCTCAAACCAACCCCGAACATGCGTCTCGCAGCCCCTTTTAAACCCTCTATCCCCGCCCTCGTTCCCAATCTACATCCTCCTGGTCTCGCACGCCGGGTCCGTGTGACGTCAGTGCCCTTTAACCCTTGACCCCCGTCTAGTGTATTACCCGTGCGTGTGATTGTTGCGTGCTATGCTGAGTGCAACGATTTCATGTCTGCGTGGTGCGAGTGCGTGAGGGTGGCTCGCAGATCCCCTACGCTTGTGCTTGCCTGCACCGCTGCCAACGCAGCAGCAGCAGCAGCAGCATCACCAAATGCTTCGCAATTGGGACGTCGAGTTGTCAGTTCGGTCGGGATTCCGTTCAGCCCTCGGCTCCTTCTGAGTTGATCAAATGAGTACCCCGTCGTGGGAAGTCAGCGGAGGTGGGTTTTTTTAATAGACTGGCCCCTGTCGTCGGAATGTGGATTTTTCACCACTGGTTCAGGAGCTATAAATGTAGATGAGCACCACCTCGCACTCGTTTGACCTGTTGAAGACAACCTTTATCACAGTGCACGTAATTAATGTCACAGGACGATGATTGCAGGCGTTCTGCCATGCCCTGTGTATTGCCTGCTGCCTTCACTTGGAGCAAAACAGCTGACACGGTGCTTTTCTCAATCATAAATATGATGTACCAGTGCATCTGATTACACACTGATAATGGACTAACAGTGTGGAATTATCATGTCCTGCCTTTGGTAATCTTATTACAATGACGACTACAATGGCAGCAGTAGCAGAATGAACGTATGAAAGTTTAACTTCTTTCGCAATGTACGTATCCAACCGTACTAATCGGAGGTGTGGGGGAAAGACAAACTAAACACAAAAATCAGTTTTAAAGAAATTAGTTTTTAATCTAGATTTAAAAGTGCATCGCTCAGGTGACCCCCTAATATAAGAAAAGCGTTCCAGACGGCCGTAGAAGCGTATCTGAAAGCGTGCCGTGTGTTGACCATCTTTGTTCGATGGCTATCTAAAAGCCGCTTCTGCGAGGGTGACCGGAGTTTGTGTGATGGTTTATCCTCCCTGACGAGATCGGCAAGGTATTGCGGTTCGTTTGTGGCATTGTGGTTCATCTAAATGCTGTAGCATCTCAAGATGCTTTACAAAAATGAATAAACTCACTTCGGGTAGACGGAGGAGGGTAGGGGGTTTGTAGGGAGATCACGGCAAGGAAGCACCGGTGAGAGAGGAGAGAGAGCGACAACCGTGGCACAACCTGGGGGGGAAAAAACCCCCCACTGGGGCCCAGCACCAACGACAACAGCGACAATCACAACAACAACAACGACGACGACGAGCCTCAGGGTCAGCCGAGGCGATCGGGGCAGCACCAACGAGCTCCGGGGCATCCTCATGAGGCCCGGAGTCCATTTACAAACGAGTCTCAGGGCATCTGCGGGCTGCCGCGGGGGCCCGTTGTAAACGAGTCTCCTGGTACGGCGGGGGCTAATTACGTGTAAAGCACTGTTGTACGTGATTGTGTGCGTGCGAGCGAGCGAGCGTAGACCAGCGCTAATGGTGACTCTTGTGCCGCGGCCATCGTGTTACATTCATGCTTGTGTTGCCCCGCTTTGTGTCCCCGGCGTCTTGTGGTTTCAGACTGCCACCAGCTTCAAGATGTTCCTGGACAACTGGAACATGATGACGGTTCGGTGGCTCAAATAGTAAGGAGACCGCCCGCCCGCCCGCCCGCGCTGTTCACATCGACGCAATGTACGGTGCGGAAGATGTTCGACATGCATACGTGTATATTGAACTTCTTTCGCACGTACGTAACCGGCCGTGCGTATAGGAGATCCGGGAGGAGGACAACAAACTGAGCACAAAAAGCGGTTCTTAACAAATTAGTTTTTAAATCTTGATTTAAAACTGCATAGCTCCAGTGGCTTCCTGTTTTAATTTTCCTTCGTTATGTTAACACGGTGATTGTTCCATGGAGAGACTGCCCCCCCCCCCCACCATAGCATTGTGGAATGTCCACGAGCAGTACAGGGGGGCTGAGCAGTTGGTGCTGTGGTTAGTGCATTTTATTTTGTGATGGGGAGGGTGCAAGTTCAAATCTTTGCCTGTGGCAAATATCTGAACCGGTGCTGGGCTTTCTCTAGGTCGACTCAGCCTTAAAATATGTACCTGGTGTGGTGTGTAAACATCACCACCGGGGAGGCAAAGGCGGCAGGGCGTGGTGCTGGCCACCGACCTCCCTCGTGTGCCATGCCAGCCTTCATAGGTGCCACTCGCTGACAGTGTTTGGCCCAACAGTCTATTGAGGCTATACGTGGGGATCTCTGCGCTTGCCTTGTGTGTTCCGCGTGCCAGCGTGTGCTACGACCGTGTCAAGACGTACCCGACGGTGGCCACGTTCGTGCTTTCGGCGGCGTGGCACGGTGTCTACCCCGGATACTACTTCACCTTCCTCACCGGCATCATCATGAGCCTCTCTGCACGCGCTGTGAGCTCCCGGCTCACACACACACACACACAGCGCACACACACTCCAGAGGCAAATATCCCCCGTGTGTAGCCTTAGCAGATTTTTGGGGCAAGTGCTGCTTGTGAGTAGCACCTGGCACAGCACACCAGGGGGGTGGGTGGGTAACACCACACCTGGCCTTTGTCTTCGTAGTGGTGATGTTTTACTCACCGCACCAGCTATTCATTTGAGGCTGAGTCAACCGAGGGATGTCAACCGTGAGCGGGAATTGAACCTGGGTAACCGGGTTCGTAGCGCAGCGCGCTAATGCCACCATTCCCCACATGCAACCCACCCGCGTGCGCACACACACACACAGAGTGTATGTCACTGCTGCAGAAATTGGCAAGAGGACGGAAGCGGGTTTGCGGTGTCGAGGTTTGTTGGATCTTGAACGTCTTGGCGCATTTGTTATGAGACGGAGCAACCGGGGTTCGCAAGCACCGACTCGTCTCGGAGTTTACCTCCGCGATTCGCCGTCTCTCGTCCAACGCCGAGCTCTGTGGTGAGCGTGCGAGCGTGCGTGCGCATGCCGCTTGGCTTCACTCCGGGACTCCGCGATTATCGGTGTTCCAGTGAAATGCTCCAGGACTCTCGCTCCACGGTTATCAGGGAGTGCCGGTGAAATGCTCCAGGACTCTCGCTCCACGGTTATCGGGGAGTGCCAGTGAAACGCTCCGAGACTCTAGCTACACGGTTATTGGGGAGTGCCGGTGAAACGCTCCAGGACTCTCGCTCCACAGTTATCGGAGTGCCGGTGAAACGCTCCGAGACTCTAGCTACACGGCTATCGACGGGACAGTGTAACGCTTCTGGTATTCTAGCTCCACGGTTATCGGGGAGTGCCGGTGAAACGCTCCGGAACTCTAGCTCCACGGTTATCGGAATGCCGGTGAAACGCTACGAGACTCTAGCTACACGGCTATCGACAGGACGGTGTAACGCTTCTGGTACTTGAGCTCCACGGTTATCGGCGTGGTGGTGAAACGGACCCCGTGTCCTGCTGCAGCCGCGCTCTGCCAACCAAACCACATGAACAACCGGAACGTCTGCCAGGAGACGGGACGTCAACAAGCAAAACATTATTTGGGTAGATCAAGGGGTCGATCGAAGGCCCTCTCTCGCTCTCTCTCTCGTCCGTACGGCTATAAATTGAGTAACATCTATAAACGGACTATCGCCGCCATCTCATGTCCCATCCTGTCGTTTTGGCGACATCCCGGTATGCGCACCGCGGACTCGCACCCGATGAGACTGTGGTGATTTTCTGCACCGGTCCAAGGCGAGGGCAGAATGCTTCTTCGCTTCTCTTCTCGAACCGCTCGTTCAAAACGCTCTCCGCTTCATTGTCACCAGCAAGTCGCTTTTTCCACGAGGGGATTCCTTTAACTTTGTTAACGCGCGGCATGCAACTGGAATCCCCACGTTGGTTGTGAATTAATTTGTTTCTTCAGATCTAGATTAACGTGGTCTGGTTTTTCCATATTTTCCTGGTTATTGACATTGCTGACACGTTCAGAAGTGGAACACACAGTATTTCACGTGCAACAACGAGAACAACCGCCGTTTGCCGCGAAGTGGCGGTGACGTCACCACGGCGCCTGTGCCAGGCTATGTGCATGTTCAGGCCATGGAACAGACCCAGGTCCCATAGGTTGACTGACTGAGATGAGGTATGCTCCGAAGCTATGTGAAGTGTCGAATGCTCGTTGACAGGTCATGGGACAGACCCATGTGCCATGGGTTGACTGACTGAGGTGACTGGCAGATGCACCACCTGTGCCCCCTAATGTGCCAACTTGCCGCATTTTAGCTGCCCGGCGCTCCGCTCGTTGTTGTGAGCGTCGCTCCTTTGCCCTCCGTTGTTGCTGGAGGGCGACTGCCTCCAACTGCCCAGTAGTAGCAGCAGCAGCGTCCTTCACGAGCCTCCTCCACAAGAGGCCGATCTTGAACATCGCTGGTGCCAGCCTTTCAGCAAGTACACTCCAAACCGCCGCTGCGCAGCTATAAAGTTACAATCCTCGAGCCCATCGCACACACACAGAATTCCGCGACGGAGTCATACGTTGGAATTGTCCGCGGGGGTTGCTGCTCGATCAAAAGGCCAACGCGAAACCCGACGCCTCATTTCCATGGCGCGTGAGATACGTCCACTGAATTAGGCAGCGCTCAGTCCCCCGCCACCCCCCCCCCCATCCAAGGCCTCAAGTGACGTGATTTGATGCTCTCGGCATCAACAACCTCCATCACAGTTGCTTGCTTAATGAGCACCACATTTGTGGGAAGTCGTCAGTGGTTGTCATATATGAAAATAAGAGCCTACAAACATGTACTTACTTACTTACATGTGTGAACTTTATGGATGTACATGTGTGTTGAACTCCTTTCACACCGTGCGTAGCCATCCCGGGTGGGTGCATTAGCAGGTGGCAGCCCATTTGGACCAAGTCTTTTTTGGCATCTGACTTGTCCTGCAATTTCCTGCCATTTTCCCCGGTCTGCCTTGACCAAAATGGATGGTCGCTTGTTTATAAAAAATGTAGTTTCCGTGTGCGTTTTTACCGGTGGCGTAGGGTCCGCTCATTGACACGAGCACCCCGCCTTGCCGCTCGTCTGAGCAAGGAGACGCTGGCTTCCTGAATCGCCATTGTCGGTCACACGGTGGCTTTAGCTCGCGCGTGCGTGTGTGCTTACGTGCGTGCTTGTGTGGTTTCTCACACCGCGCGTCTCGGCAGATGCGCAACAACTTCCGGCACTACTTCCTGGGCTCCAAGACGGTGAAGGTGGCGTACGACGTGGTGACGTGGGCCGCCACGCAGCTCTCCATCTGCTACACGGTGGCGCCCTTCGTCATGTACGGCATGAAGCCAGCGCTCGACTTTTACCGGTGAGCATGACCCAGCGCCGGGATCTTAGAATTGGGTCGCATGGGCGGGCGAGCGGGGCGGGCGGACGGATCAAAGAGAGCGAGGACTGAGTGAGTGAATTAATGAATGCATGGTTGAGTGGACCGTTGACTCTGGGTGAATGAATGAGTGAATAGGCAACGGAGGCAATGAGTGAGATATAACTGATGAATGACAGAGTGAGTGAACTGGGGACTGAGTGGTTGAGTAATTTAGAGAGTGAATTTGTGAGTGAATCCGTGGGCAGACTTGTAAGCGAGTGAATGAATTGGCCAATTGACCGGTTACTGAGTGCGTAAGTGGGTAGATGACTGGGTGAATCTACCAGTGACCGAGTGGATAAAGTGAATGGCTGGGTTGGCGAATGCGCGAGTGAGATGGCAACAGGGTGTGTGGATGAATGAATAACTGGGTGAATGAATGGTCCAATGAATGAGCAGCTGGGTTCGTGATTGAATTGCAGAATGGATAGATGATGATGGAGTGACAGAGTAACTGAGTGCACGAGTAAGTGAATGGGTAAATGACCGTGATTGAATCAGTGCCCATTGACAGTGGGGGTAAGGCACTGCAACAGTCGGTGAGAGCGTGAATGAGTGAGCAATGGTTAGAACGAGCGACGGAACACCCGACCACGGCGCTGACTTATCCTCCACGACTGAATCAAACGGGTGGGTGACGGAGTGACAGAGCAAACGGGAAGATGAGTGAGTAAAATTGGTGATCAACCGAGTGAATTTAAAAGTGACATTTTGTAAACAATTTAATATGTGAACGAGCAATTGGGACAGCACGGGAACTGGCTGAAGTTGTGAGCGAGTGAAGGAACAAACAGCTGAGTGGCTTGGCAGGTGGCTCGGTGAAGAGTGAGATATTACATTAACATTGGCTGGTGCCAAGATGTCCCCTCGACTTAAAACAAATACATCCGACTTACAGAGGTCTATTGATTAATTCCACTCCCCATTTCAACGACAGACCAATACCGTGCCGAGAGCGCTCGACCTGCAAGGCGGAACCTCACAAGTTCGATTCCCAGTCAGGTGTTTGTGCAGCCCAGCATTCATCCGTGTGGTGCATAGAATGCGTACCACTTCGTGGCAAGCCAGTGCTTGCCCTTCACTGGGGGAGTGTAATTTTCATTATTGTCTACAAGCAGATAGAGAACAGTCCCAGCTTTGAGCCTGAAGGTAATAACCGACTCTTGTTGCCAAGGCTTGGGTCTGCTGCCACCTGCTGGAGAAAAGGTGACATTTTCATCCCACAGGCATCATTCCGACATAAAGTGTTATTAGCATTGCATAGCTAACACTTTATGTGTGAGATTATCAGTGGTTGTCCTATGCAGAGACCGATCCTGCCATAGGAACATGGACTTGCCATTACTTGCTTATTATTAGAAATTCATGGAGGAATTCATTGGTACTTCTATACCTTATTTGTTCTCTAGTTATCTTATTTTTAGTGACTTGCTTACTTTTTCTCCAATTGTTTATTTTTGTATCGTTTGTTGCTGTAACTTGCTGACCCGCCCCCTGCCGGACATCTGTGCAAGAGAGCTTCACAGCTCATCGGATTCCTCCTCCAGTCTAAACAAAGCGTTCCGATATCTGATCATTTGAGCTGAAAGATGCACCGACGTGCGAAACGACCTGAAGAGAAGAGACTGGGCTTCCGGCAGGGGTTCCGTTTACAATGACGGACGATCGAAACGTGCTCAGGGTCTCCGCCATCTGTCCGCCCCCCCCCCCCCTTGCAGGTCCATGTACTACTGCCTGCACGTGGTGACAGTGGTCATCCTCCTGGTGCTTCCCATCAGGGCGCGACCTCCGACCCCGACGGTCACGGCCAGCGGCCCCACCAACCACACCCAGGCCAGGAAAACACAGTGACCCGCCGCAAGGGCCCGGAGCGGTCCCTGGCCTCGTGGACTCCACTCACAGCTGACCGAACGAACGAACGACTGTCCGACCGTCCGACTGTCCGACCGTCCGACTGTCCGACCGTCCCGCCTGTCCGACCGTCTGACTGTCCGACCGTCCGATTGTCCGACCGTCCGACCGTACGACCGTCCAATTGATTGACCAAACGACTATCCGACCGTCCGATTGACTGAATGACCGACTGACTGACCGCAGTCGACAACCGGCGGAAAGAGGGCTACGGCGGGCGCTTTTGTTTGATACAAATTTTAAATGTTCAGAACAAATGAAATCAACACTGGGGTCTCGGCGTGAGCTCCCCAAGGTCGCCCCTCCTCACCTTAAAGGAAGACACAACGCAAAAAAACAAACAATTGGGCTTGATTTTACTCGGTTATGAATATGATCTTGAGGCGTCAGTTAAAATCAGATTACGTCAGTAATTAATGAATTTTGCCTTCCGACTCCAGCTCCCAGCTATGGGGCAGAATACCCCATAGCTCCCGTTGCACTGGGCTTCAAAGGCTAAAATGCAGCTCCCACAATGCACTGTCTTGTCGCGTGGGAAGCTGGGATCATGGGGCTCCCATCGCATCACCACAGTGTGGTTGCGACGTCACACAAGGGCGCAACGCAATGGTGGTGAGCCTGGAAGTCATTTGGCTTTGACTTTCAAGTATTTTTTTTTATTTAAGAAGCTTCATCCTTGTGTCGCCCAGCCTGCAACCGACGGCCGGGACCGAGATGGGCGTGTAAAGTAAGAAAAGATATATAACCAGTTGATTTTTTTGGGGAAGTGTCTTCTTTTAACCTACAGCAGCACCCCCCTTCCCCCTGTGCCCCCCCCCCTCCCCCCGGGGCTTCACAGCTGAAAAAGAAGTGCCACGTTGAATACGGAGATTCCTGAAGCCACGCGCTTTTCGAGGCCACGGTCGTTAGGGAAATCTACCGTTGGTTTTGGTCGAATCTCTTTTCTTTTCCGCGCCGCCCTTCCCCCCGACCATTGTCGCGATGGCAGAAACGGTTTGCCCGACCGCGAGCGGCGTGCGTGAGAAGCTCCGGGTTCAGCGCTGTCCGTGGGGGCGTGACGAGTGCCGGACCGTGTACCCGGCACCCTCTGCCGATGTTTGCTTAAACGGCCTTGTGGGTAAATAGACTTAACGAGCAGCGAGCCGGGAGGGCAAGAGTGGCGCCCTCCTGAAGACACCGTCATTTGTCGCTAAACAAGTCTGCTAAGAGGGCACAATCTTAGGCGGGATGGTATTTAAAATCCTTGCAATCGATGCGTAATGCATTATATATCGTAAAAACGTATGAACACAAAAGTCACAAAATACCACAAGCAGCTAAACAAGAATGCAAAGGTCTGTTTGAACACTGTGAGTTGCCGAGACGAGGGCTTTTAACCCCCGCTGGCCTTATTGGGAAAACCCAGATGGGGGGTGGATGGTTTGGGTGTGCCGCAGACCTTTGTGGGAGTGTCGTCAATTATGATACCGGGCTTCATGACCGATCGCTCGTTTGTTCGGGGTGTTAAAAAACGCCGCAGGTTTTAACTTCCGGGGCGTGGTACGCGTTTTGCCAAACGTCCGCTGTCCGCGTGTGTTTTGTCGTGCCGATTTTTTTTTTTTAGCAGAGCGCCAGCTCTATTTATTTTGCAAACATGCTGTGTTTCAAATGTCCTGGGGTGCATCCAAGTGCTCGTAAACTTCACCTAAATGTTCACGCGGGGGTTGAACGACGCCAGTTGAGAGGGAAGCGTGAGAGCGTTCATGGCGACCACGTAAGAAGTGCTTACCAAAACCTCAAACAATACGGACGCCAGTAACTTTTAACCCGTAAAACACTAACCCAACAATACGCATACCAAAAATAGCGACGAGCTCAATGAAAACGGGGCTTGCCTGTGCAAGCCTGTGGGGCCCACACCTTCTTCGCGAGTCACAGAATTGCAGCGTCTACCCCTGGACGGGTCTGCTTCTGCACCGCCCCTGCACACGGCATTCGCGCTCTAACACGGTGAGCTCGTGACACTGCCTCCGTGGAACACCCGGCACAGACCAACTGCCCTGACCCCCGGCACGGACGGGCACCGCTGACCTTAGCGCACACCGACACCGCCGCTGGAGCAATGCATTTTCAAACGTCGCAGCGTATGCCAACGATTTCGGTCGAGGGCCCTCTGGCTGTATGCAGTAAAAGCCACATTTTTTTACGGTGCTAAATGTTTTTATGTTTTTTCACCAAATGAAGCTTCGCACTTGTGTTGTACAGCCGCTGATGCACAGACTGGTTCCACAACCGACAAAGAAAAAATGACTGCATTTTGTTTCATATTTGGATCGCACCTTATTTAAATGATTTCGAGCCATTTGAAAGGTCCCATGGTGTACACGACAGCGCCGCTCGCCATTGGAGTCTTTAAACTCGCCAAAATATACCCTGCCCCTGTAAGCCGAATACATGGCAAGGGATAGGATGGGATTGACGTCTCTGTGTGTGTCGTCGATTTAAGTCCGGAACGTAACCGGCCGATGTGAACGACTCTCGACTCGTGACGCTCTGCGTTGTGGCAGCGTGTGGTGCTGAGCCCGGCGAATGGTGGGGGGTTAGTTGGGGGGGGGGGGGGTTATTGGAGGGGGTGGGGGGGGGGGTGTGGTGGGGGTGGGTCACACGATGAAGCGTCTGGGAGAAGCTGCCGGAGCGGCAGCGGCGGACAGCAGTTTCACGTTTCCCAAAAATAATCGGCAGTGAAGTTGTGGCTACTTTTGCACGGCTCGACCTGTGTGAGGTCGTATGGTTACTTGGGCCAAAAGGGAAAAACACAAAAACGAGCCCAGATGTTGTGTTGTTGTTCCCTACGATGATGCCGAGGTTGCTCTTTAGGGAGCGCGGTCAGGCCACAATTTGAACGCTTGGCCCAAGAGCCACCACCGCGATGTCCACAGGGGCCGACGACGAGGAAGCCGTCCTTCCGTTAGTGGACCGCGATTGCACGGGTTGGTGCCGTAGGCTCACGAGCGGTCGTTTCATGAAACGGGAGACCCAAGCGTGTGACCGTGAGCAACTGCGCTCTGTGTGCGATGCAATCGTTGCATCGGCAAGTCCGCTGCTTCTTTACGTCCACGCGAAACGCCGCGTTGGGATGGAACGCAGCACCGGGTCATTGAATCGGGCAGGTCAAGGCCTGCGATCACGCAAAGGAGCTCAGCGTACGCCGCCCGCCCTCCCTTGCGCAGGGCCGCGCAAAGTCTTTCCAACAGGAGGCAGTGCAAGCAAGTGTGTCATTTGCCTGTTTGTTTTGAGTGTTGTCCACTCGCGTAGGATGGCATTTTCCCCATGCCCTCTGGCTTCCTCGCACGTGCAGTGCAGCATCCGGCCAACCGATCCCCGTGCTGAAAGTGAGTCTCGAAGCTCCGTTAAGCACCATTGGGTTCTACGAAGCAATGACTGACTGCTTGTGTTACAGACATGTTAAAGAGGGCTCGTCGGTCTGACGCCGCAACGCCCGTGCGTGAATGAGTCAAGCAGAAGGGATGTTGCAGCTTCAGTAGCCGAGCGCCCCCTACTGCACGGTACACGGTACAGTCGTGAACGCCACACTAACTGCCTTTTTGTGTTTAATTGTCCTTCCCCCCCCCCGCACCTCCGATTAGCACGGTTGGCTGCGTTCGGCTTCAAAAGAAGTTCAACTTACGTGGGCAAAAAACTGAGGAGACCACCGTAAGTTGCAGTGGGAGAGGAAGGGCAAAGCGTGGGTGGAGCGCACGAGCCAGCCACACACTGACCCCTACTGCTGCTATCCCCCACCCCACTCGGCATCCAGCCACGACTAATAGCCCGAGGTTTTCATTCACTGTTCAATTAAACAGATTTGAGCAGCGACACTGCGTCGGCAGTGGTGCACAAGCACAAACAATAACGCGACGCGTTCAGTCAAGAGCGCAGCCTTGAATTGAACGGTAGATGATTGGCGGCATATCGAGCAGTGGCTCTTCTTCATAACCCATAGAGGCCAGAGAGGGAGAGTGGATAATCCAGTAGTTGGACTCTCTCTTCATGTGCCATGAAGAAGGGCAATTGCGCTCAACTAAACTTAAAAATTTACCAGCTAAGGTCCACTGAGCTATATAGCTATTTTTCAGATGTGACCCGGCCACAAATGATAGCACAACGAAGTGGCTTATCGTGTGGAAATTTATATCGGCCAGATATCCCTCGGCGCATGTCGATTCTAAATGCGTGGGGGGAAAAAACCTGAGGAGAAAAATCCACGCGACCACGGGGAGAACACGCGCACTTCAAATATACAGCTGCAGGCGTCGGGGTCGGGATCGAACTCACGACCTCCCGTACACCAGGCGAGGCAGTTAACATCTCCCAGCCACCGTTGCGGCCCCTATTTACTGTTACACAGGCCACCGTTTGTAACCCGCACGCTCCGTGCCTGAACGCGAGCGTTGGCACCGGCGCGGTGTTGTCGGCCTGCCGCGGTTGTGCCATCTCTCCCCGGCGCCGCTTTCCGGTTGTGCCGCGCGTCATCCGGCGCGACGTCCGACGCTCTGCCGCCGCCCGCTGGGACCTCGTTCGGGGAACCGAATCGAGCAACCGACCGCCCCCGGAACGACCAAAAAGAGCCAACGATCCACTTGATGAGCCTCCGCCGCCCCCCCGCCCCCACCCCCCCCCCCCCCCCGAGCGCCGTTAGCCTCACTTGGGTTGCGCCTTGATGTTGTCGTCGTCGGTGATGATTCGACGACTGCCGTGTTGCCGCACGTGTTTCAGGGCCACGCAGGATGTCCGCGCAGAGCGGGGAACGCAGGGGAGGGAGGGGGAGGGGCGTCGCGTTGAGCTTCATGTTCCAGCTCTGCAAGATTTCAGCACCTTGTCAAATTCTTTGGCCAAGTAATAATTTTGATAGTTCTCCCCCCCCCCCACCTCTCCCCTTCTCCAAAGCTATATACCCAAGATGAGTGAGGGAAAGGGTTAGTTGAGATCGTGCGTGCGTGCGTGCGTGTGGGGGGAATGGCAGCCCGGGCGAATCGGCACGCACGCCGCTGCGCAGTGCTTCCCGCCGGCTCGGACATCAGCGAGAGGGAGAGACAAAGGCGGGCAGGAGCACGACGCTGGCTTTTGTCACGCGAATGCTGGCGGCACTTGCACCCGTCTGGACGCTGAATGGGGGATCTTGGGTCTTCTCGCTTCGGGCCAACATACTCCCCGCAATTTAAATTGCCGTTAAGCGACCTGTCGTAAATGTGCCTTTTGTTTAGGAGAAAAACCATTCAACTCGGCTTCTTTCATTCGGTGAATATCTGTTGTCTGCAGATGTAAATAATCATAATAATAATAATAATAGTACCCGTATGGTTGGTGGCGCCGAGCAACGGAGACCCTCGCGGAACCAGCCGCGGACCGGCGAGTGGTGCACACCGGAAGGTCGTAGGTCAGTGGAAGGGGACCGTGTGCCGCCACCATTGTCAGTTTTAAATACCCACCCCCACCCACCCCCCACGCTCACCTCAGGTGTGCCTCGTGGTCTTTTCTTTCCCCTCCCTCTGATGAGCGTGAAGCTTCGAACTCGTGTCGGACAGCCCGGAGTACACGGCAAACTCGCCGAACGTGTGAACAAAACAACAGCAGCTCTTTGCTTTTTGAGGTTTTGCGCTTTCATCACGAGTATGCTTACGCCATGGCCACAAATTAGTTTGAGACTGCGGTCGGTGATTGTACAATGTGTTTTTAACAGGGCCGATGGGTTGGGAAAGTACAACTCAAAGCCACTGATGTATTTGGCTGAAGCAGGCTACTGTGTTAATATTTTATTTAGCGTGGAACGCCAGTGCGGTGGCGAGTGCACGGCATCACAAACTCGGCCACCCGAGTTCGATTCCCGGTCACGTCGGTGGCAAGTGAAATCTGAAACCGGTTCCTGGGCCCCCACCTTCACCAACCCCGCACTGACCAGCGTGGTGAAGTACGGTAAAAAAAAACCTCCCGTGATCGGCGCGTTGCGTGGGGCTTCCGGTGTATTGACCGGGGTACGTGCAATCGCACTGCTCTTTATTTTGAATGAGAATTGTAGTTGACGAAAGCGCCGACACTGGAAATACATTTCAGGAATTTGCTATTTTCCCAGCCACGTTTCACTCTTAGGTCGCGCTCTACTGTTGCGGCGGGTTAACCCGTCGACCAGCGGTGTTGGCGACGGTGGTTGGGGTTGCTTACGTGGGGGTTACACCGCGACACGCTGGCCGTTCATTCTGGCCAGTGTGGGTGGTAAAACAAAAAAGGTTAAGCTCGGCTTGCTAAGCGGCGATGGTTGAGAGTGCGCAGGGTGCACTAACTGTGACCTAGCACTTTGAAGGTGGGTTTTGACGGTTCTTACGCTCCGCAGTGATCGGTGGGTGGCAGCGGATTTGCTGACGCGTTTGTAGGGATTTTTGGAGCGCTGACTGCTCGTACATGAGCGGCCTCCGGGCACTCCGGTTTCCTCCTGCAACGACAAAAAAAACACACACGTCTTTAACGAGGAACTCGGAAAATGTTCGATTGCGCAAGACCCTCTTTAAATGAAGGTCTTAAGATACCACATGTTTCGATCAGAGCAATCGCCTTAACACTGTACCACAGCAATCGTTGCGCGGCGTAGGACAAAAGCCCAACGTCCTTTAAACATACAATAACATTTCCATAGGAAAAAAAATGCTTAATATCAAGTTGTGGGTTTTTCACTTCAATGATACTTCAGTTTTAGTTTAAAAACATTTATATTACATTTCTACCGCGTTTTCTTACAAGGGAATAGTTTATAAGCTCAGGGTAATTTAATTTGTAGGAAACGCACGGAACACTGGTAGCGAAACTCATAAAGCATCGTATGCTGTTCAACTGTCAGTATAACAGAATGCTCTTTTTGTAATTCAAATAATTTACAAGTATTATTGTCATGATGAAACTGCAGTTGGTGTAAATCACGTCTGCACAATACAACTACAATGCACATATATCGTTTAATGGGTTCCGCTGTATTTTCGTTGTCCGTACGTTGAACTTCTTTCGTACCGAACGTGGCCAAGCATGCTCTCAGCGTAGGGCTGCGGTGGTTGCCTGTGAGATTAGAGCCATCATCACACCACACATTGGCATTGTTTTATTTGAACAACTATGGCTGGATATTTAGCGACGAGATTACTCTTCCGGTCACATTCTGGCTCGTTGCCAATTGTCAATGGGAGCTGTCGGTGTTCAACGCTTGCCGGGAAGGTATAGAGAGAGAGAGAGACGAGGGTCTTCTGTTCTTTCCTAAAATTAACCAACGTGATACTGCCGTGGTGCGACA